TAAAGTCTGTTTTATCAGAGACTAGTATTGCAACTCCTGCTTTTTTTTGTTCTCCATTTGCTTGGTAGATCTTCCTCCATCCCTTTATTTTGAGCCTATGTATGTCTCTGCATGTGAGATGGGTCTCCTGAATACAGCAGACTGATGGGTCTTGACTCTATCCAATTTTCCAGTCTGTGTCTTTTATTTGGAGCATTTAGTCCATTTACATTTAAGGTTAATATTGTTATGTGTGAACTTGATCCTGCCATTATGATATTAACTGGTTATTTTGCTCGTTAGTTGATGCAGTTTCTTCCTAGCCTCAATGGTCTTTACATTTTGGCATGTTTTTGCAATGGCTGGTAGCGGTTGTTCCTTTCCATGTTTAGTGCTTCCTTCAGGGTCTCTTGTAAGGCAGGCCTGGTCGTGACAAAATCTCTAAGCATTTGCTTATCTGTAAAGGATTTTATTTCTCCTTCACTTATGAAACTTAGTTTGGCTGGATATGAAATTCTGGGTTTAAAATTCTTTTCTTTAAGAATGTTGAATATTGGCCCTCACTCTCTTCTGGCTTGCAGAGTTTCTGCCAAGAGATCTGCTGTTAGTCTGATGGGCTTCCCTTGGTGGGTAACCCAACCTTTCTCTCTGGCTGCCCTTAAGATTTTTTCCTTCATTTCAACTTTGGTGAATCTGGCAATTATGTGTCTTGGAGTTGCTCTTCTCGAGGAGTATCTTTCTGGCATTCTCTGTATTTCCTGAATTTGAATGTCGGCCTGCCCTACTAGGTTGGGAACGTTTTCCTGGATGATATCCTGAAGAGTGTTTTCCAACTTGGTTCCATTTTCCCCCTCACTTTCAGGCACCCCAATCAGATGTAGATTTGGTCTTTTTACATAATCCCATACTTCTTGCAGGCTTTGTTCATTTCTTTTTCTTCTTTTTTCTTTACATTTCTCTTCTCGCTTCATTTCATTCATTTGATCCTCAATCGCTGATACTCTTTCTTCCAGTTGATCGAGTCGGTTACTGAAGCTTGTGCATTTGTCACATATTTCTCGTGTCATGGTTTTCATCTCTGTCAGTTCGTTTATGGCCTTCTCTGCATTAATTATTCTAGTTATCAATTCTTCCACTCTTTTTTCAAGATTTTTAGTTTCTTTGCGCTGGGTACGTAATTCCTCCTTTAGCTCTGAGAAGTTTGATGGACTGAAGCCTTCTTCTCTCATCTTGTCAAAGTCATTCTCTGTCCAGCTTTGATCCGTTGCTGGCGATGAGCTGCGTTCCTTTGCAGGGGGAGATGCGCTCTTATTTTTTGAATTTCCAGCTATTCTGCCCTGCTTTTTCCCCATCTTTGTGGTTTTATCTGCCTCTGGTCTTTGATGATGGTGACGTACTGATGGGGTTTTGGTGTGGGTGTCCTTCCTGTTTGTTAGTTTTCCTTCTAACAGTCAGGACCCTCAGCTTTAGGTCTGTTGGAGATTGCTTGAGGTCCATTCCAGACCCTGTTTGCCTGGGTATCAGCAGCAGAGGCTGCAGAAGATAGAATATTGCTGAACAGCGAGTGTACCTGTCTGATTCTTGCTTTGGAAGCTTCCTCTCAGGGGTGTACTCCACCATGTGAGGTGTGGGGTGTCGGTCTGCCCCTAGTGGGGGATGTCTCCCGGTTAGGCTACTCAGGGTTCTGGGACCCACTTGAGCAGGCAGTCTATCCATTCTCAGATCTCAACCTCCGTGTTGGGAGGTCCACTGCTCTCTTCAAAGCTGTCAGACAGAGTCGTTTGTGTCTGCAGAGGTTTCAGCTGCTTTTTTGTTGTTGTTATTGTTGTTGTTGTTTAGCTGTGCCCTGTCCCCAGAGGTGGAGTCTACAGAGACAGGCAGGACTCCTTGAGCTGCTGTGAGCTCCACCCAGTTTGAGCTTCCCAGCCGCTTTGTTTACCTACTTAAGCCTCAGCAATGGTGGGCGCCCCTGCCCCAGCCTCACTGCTGCCTTGCCTCGAGATCGCAGACTGCTGTGCTAGCAATGAGGGAGGCTTCGTGGGTGTGGGACCCTCCCGGCCAGGTGTGGGATATAATCTCCTTGTGTGCCCATTTGCTAAGATCCTTGGTGAATCGCAGTATTGGGGTGGGAGTTACCCGATTTTCCAGGTGTTGTGTGTCTCAGTTCCCCTGGCTAGGAAAAGGGATTCCCTTCCCCCTTGCGCTTCCCAGGTGAGGCGATGCCTTGCCCTGCTTCAGCTCTCACTGGACAGGCTGCAGCAGTTGACCAGTACCGATTGTCCCGCACTCCCTAGTGAGATGAACCCAGTACCTCAGTTGAACATGCAGAAATCACCTGTCTTCTGTGTCGCTTGTGCTGGGAGTTGGAGACTGGAGCTGTTCCTATTCGGCCATCTTGCTCTGCCCTACCTATCTCATTTCCATTCTTGATGCCTTTTTTTTCCTTTCCTTGCCTTCTTACATTGGCTATAACCTTAAATGCAATGTTGAATAAAAATATCAAGACCATCTTTACCTCCTTCCTGATTTTAGAGGGAAAGCATTCAGTCCTTCACTATTAAGTATGATGTTAGCTGTAGACTTTTCCATGAATACCTTTTATCAGATTGTGGAAGTCTTCTTCTATTTTTAGTTTGCTGGGAGTTTTAGTTAGGAAAAGATGTTGGAATTGTCAACATCAAATGAAATTTCTTTAAAATTTTGGTTTTAATATGGTGAATTACGTTGACTGATTTTCAAATGATAAACCAGCCTTGAATTCCTGGAATTAACTCCACTGGATCATAATATATTGTCCATTTTATGTAATGTTGCATTTGATATGCTAAAATTTTGTTTAGAACTTCTATATCTGTGTTCATGAAGCATATTGGTCTTTAGTTTTGTTGTTGTTGTTGTTGTGTTAAGAAAACTTCACATAAAACCTACCCTCTTAAATAAGTTTTTAAGTGCACATAGACTATTGTAAACTATAAACCCAAGGTTGTACAACAGATCTCTAGAACGTGTTCATCTTGCATAGCTGAAACTTTGTACCCACTGGGCATCAATTCCCCATTTCTTTCCTTCCTGGACTCTGGCAACCATCATTCTACTCTCTGCTTCTATGAATGTAACCATTTTAGATACTTTATATAACTTGAGTCATGAAGTATGTGTCCTTCTGTGACTAGCTTATTTCACTTAGCATAACGTCCTCCAGGTTCATCCATGTGGTCACACATGACAGGATTTTTTTTAAGGTTGAATATTATTCCATGGTGTATATACCACATTATCTGTTCATCCATTGATGGAGATTAAGGTTGTTTTGATGTGTTGGCTAATGTGAATAATGCTGCAATAAACATAGGAGATTGAATATCAATTTGAGATTCTGATTTCAATTCTTTGGGATATATACCAGAAGTGGGATTACTGGATCATATGGTGGTTCTATTTTTAATTCTTTAAGGAGTCTATATACTGCTTTCCATAGCAGCTGCACCAGTTTACAATCCCACCAACAGTGCACAAGGGTTCCAATTTCTTCACATCCTCACCAACATTTACCTTTTCTTTTTTTAATAATTGCCATCCTAACAGGTGTGAGGTGATATCTCATTTGCATTCTCTAGACGACTAGTCACGTTGAACATCTTTGATATACCTGTTGTCCATTTATATGTCTTTTTTTGAGAAATGTCTATCCAGTCTTTTGTCCATTAAATGTACTTTTTCTTGCTATTGTTTTGCAGGAGTTCCCTATATACTTTTTATATTAACCTTCTATCAGATATATGGTTTGCAGACATTTGATAACATTCGGTAGGTTGCTTTTCCATTTTGTTGTTTTCTTAGCTGTGCAGAAACTTTTTAGTTTTATGTAGTTCTACTTGTCTATTTTTGCTTTTGCTGCTTGTGTTTTGCTGTCATGTCTAACAAATCATTGCTAAGACCAATATTATGAAGTTTTCCCCCAACGTTTTCTTCTAGGCATTTTACAGTTTATGAATTTGTAAAATTTTAGGGGCTGAAAAATTACATTGAAATCTTAAATCAATTTTAATTGATTTTCCTGTGTAAGGTAATGGTCCAAAGTCATTCTTTTGCATGTGTATATGCAGTTTTCGCAACATCATTTGTTGAAGAGATTGACCTTTCCCCACTGTGCTTTGTTGGCAACCTTGTTAAAGATCAGTTGACTGTATATGCATACCTTTATTTCCAGGCTTTCTGTTATATTGATCTATAGATCTTTTTTATACCAGTACCATACTGTTTTAATTACTGTTGCTGGGCATCCTTTCTTAGTCCTAATCTTAGAGGAAAAGCTTTCAGTTATTCACCATTGAGTACAATGTTAGCTGTGGGCTTGTCATTTATGACCTTTATTATGTTTTGGCAAATTCCCTCTATACTTAGCTTTTTGAGAGTATAATTATTTAGTTATAGTATTCATTATATTACAAAAGTTTTGAATTTCATCAAATACTTTTTCTGCATCTATTGAAATGATCACATGATTTTAAAATTCATCATTCTGTTAGTGTGATCTATCACATTAATTGATTTGCATATGTTGAGCCATCCTTGCATCCTAGGGATAAATCTCATTTGGTCTTGGTGTGTGATCCTTACATTTTTAAGAATCTACCCATTTCTTAAAGATTATCCAATTTGTTGATATATACTTGTTAATAACTATCTTTCCTATCTCTTTGTATCAGTTGTAATGTCTCCTCTTTAATTTCTGACATTATTTGAGATTCCTCTGTTTTTGCTAGTCTATCTAAGGGTTTGTCAATTTTATCTTGTTAAAACATCAACTCAATTTCATCGGTATTTTTCTACAATTTTTCTTTTTCTTTTTTTCCTTTTTTTTTGTTTGTTTTCTTGAGGCAGGGTCTCTCTCGTTTTTTTTTTTGTTTGTTTGTTTGTTTGTTTTTAAGAAAAAAACACAGAGCTTTATTATTTTCAACACTAATGGCAGTGGTCTTCATAGGACAGGAGAGTGAGTTCTGTCGATGGATAGGCAGCCCCTACTTGCCGACAATGAGCGAGTTCCGCAGGACCACGACGACCGAGTCCTGGCGCAGGAACATCTTGGAGATGTAGCGGTCTTTGTTGACTGGCTTGGATTTCTTCTTTCCCTTGCCGCTCTTAGGGACTTCGGTCCACATCTCCTTCACGTTCTCCAGCACCATGTTGCAGTGCCTACCGAAGGCCTTCACCCGGCCCAGGAGTTTCTTATTGTTGCAACAGTTGATGAGCACTTGGGTGTTGTTCTTGACTGACTGCGTGAGCACAGAGAGTGGACTCATGTGAAATTCCTCTCGCTTCTGCAGCTCCTCTGGGGTCATCTCATTCTTGGGCTTGTTGAGGAGGCTCATGATGGTCACTAAGCTCTCCGTTCACTCCCGTTTCCTCCGCGTTGCTGCTGCCTGAGGAGGGGGCAAGGTCTCTCTCTCTCTGATCCAGGCTGGAGTGCAGTGGCACGAGCACAGCTCATTGCAGCCTTGACATCCCAGGCTGAAGTGATCTTCCCACCTCAGCCTCATAACTAGCCTGGACCACAGGCAGATGACACCATGCCTGGCTAATTACATTTTTTTTTTTTTTTTTTTTTTTTTTTGTAGAAACAGAGTCTTGCCATGTTGCCCAGGCTGGTCTCAGACTCGTGAGCTCAGGTTATCCTCCTGCCTCAACTTCCCAAAGTGCTGGGTTTACAGGTGTGAGTTGCCTTGCCTGACCTCTATTCTTTATTGTGTTTAATTCTGGTCTAATCTTTAAGGTTTTCTTCCTTCTGCTAACTTTGGGTTTAGTTTGTTCTTTTTTTCTTGTAATGTCTTTGGCTTTGGTATCAGAGCAGTGCTGGATTCATGGAATGTGATGAAGGTTATTCCTTCCTATAGAATTTAAATGTTTTGTAGAATTCACTAGCAAAACTATCTGGACCTGTGGTCCTGTGGTTTTGGGTTTTTTGTTTTGGGTTGTTTTATGTTTGTTTGTTTATTTTGGTGGTGAGGTTAGGGAGGTTTTAAAGTACAAATTCTCTTTCTTTAATATGTACAGAGATATTCAGATCATCTTATCTATTTCTTCTTAGGAAGCATTGGTCATTTGTAACTTTTGAGAAATCCTAACCCATTTCCTCTAACTTGCCAGAATTATTGGCATAAAACTGCTAATAATGTTAGCTTATTTTCCTTTTGATATTTGTGGAATAGTAGTGCTGTCATTCTCTTATTCCTGATACTGGTAATTTGTGCCTTTTATTCTTTCTTTGTATGCTCCATTTTGGATAGTTTCTATTGCAGTACATTCAAGGTCATAAATCTTTTCTCTTTTCTTTTACTATGTCTAATCTACCATTAATTTCAGACATTGTTGTTTTCAGCTCTAGTAGTTGGATTTGGTTCTTTGAAAATATATGCATATCCCTTCTATGTCTTTGTCTAACTTTTAGAAGAAACGGGATATAGCTTTTAAAAAGTGTTTTAATGTCCTTGTATTATAATTCTATCATCTATGTCACTTCTGAATCAGTTTCAATTACTTAATTTTTTTCATTCCTAATTATTTGTTATATTTTCTTGCTTTTTGACATACCCAGTCATGTTTGTTTCAATTTCAGGCATCTTGAATTTTACTTAGCTGGGTGCTGGATGTTTTTGTATACCTATAGACCTTCGTAAGCTTTTTTCCTTCCCTGGGGTATGGTTACATCATCTGGAAACAGTTTGATCCTGGAGGACTCATATGGTTAGGCTTCGTGTCCCCACCTGAATCTCATCTTGAATTGTAATTCCCATAATCCCCACGTGCCAAGGGAGAGACCAGGTGAAAGCAATTGAACTGTGGGGTGGTTTCCTCCATGCTGTTCTCATGACAGTGAGTGAGTTCTCATGAGATCTAATCATTTTATAAATGTTTGGTAGTTCTTCCTGCATTCCTTCTTCTTCCTGCCACCTTGTGACAAAGGTGCTTTGCTTCCCCTTCACCTTCCACCATGATTGTAAGGTTCCTGAGGCCTCACCAGCCATGCTGAACTGTGAGTCAATTAAACCTCTTTCCTTTATAAGTCACCCAATCTCGGGCAGTTCTTTATAGCAGTGTGAAATTCTCTAATATAAGGACTTAACTTTTAAAATTTGTTAAGTGGGACCAAATCTGTGCTTAATTGAGAGCTAATTTCTGGTCTTGTGAGAATAATGTTCCTTCTAATCCTTTCAAATGGTTCATTCCTGGGCCATAGGTTGTTTCATTACATGTGCTTCTCAGTACTTTGCTAAATATTCAAGAGTGTTCTACTATAGTTCTCTGTAGTCCTTTTGGTCTGATTCTCTGTTCTGTGAACTCAGGTGGCTTTGGTCTTCCCAACTTTCAACTCTGTCTCAACTCAGAGAGCCTACTGAGTTCTACTTAGGTTTTACCTTCCTGCACTGCAGACCTGAAACTCTTTTAAGCTATTAGGCTGGGCAATCATAGGACTCACCTTGCTTGTTTCTTATCTTTTAATGATCAGTATTCTTTGTTGTCCATTGCCCAGCAAAGTGAAACTATGATCTCACATGTTTTGTCCAGTTTTTTGTTTGTTTGTTTGTTTTTTGTTGTTGTTCTTATAGGTGGCTGGGTAAATCCAGCCCATACCCTTCCATCTTGGTTGGGAACAGGGGTTCTCCTTCCTTCTTGCAACAAACATTTATGTACCAAACAATGTGATTTTCCTTAGAACATTATAATATCACTTTTGCAGTGGTTGAAAGAAAAATATTATTGTTGATAGAGTGGGCCAATAGTATGCACAATCAGCTATTGTGATCTGGTAGTAATACCAAAAATCCTTTTAAAAATAAAGAAATCAGAGCTTAGTTATCTATAATGTTGATTCTAAAAGGTTATGACTCTTCATGGAACATAACCCAGGCTCCATCTTACATTTCTTCATATACTAGCTGTGGGACAGTGTGTTACACTAACTGTGGGACACAGGTCTCCAGGCCTTCATTTTTTCATCTAGAAAATGGGGATAATTATAGCAACTCCTCATAGGGTTCATAGGAATAAATGAAATAGTATCCGCAGTACTATTAGATTCAGGCCTAATGCAGAGTAAGTGCTCAAAAAGATTAGAAAATATTTAACATATCTTTTTCTTTTTAAGTAATAAAAAGTTACCTTCTTTAAACTTATGGGGTACTGCCTGCTACATGGGGTACTGCCTGATACACACACACACACACACACACAGATATATACTATTATTGAATGTCCAAAATGGTCTACATTCACTTTATCTTTAGCCCTCACCCTTCAAGATTACACACACACACACACACACACACACACACACACACACACCCTCTTCTTTTCTTTTATGTAGACTTAAGAGTAACTGTGGCCGGGTGCGGTAGACCACGCCTGTAATCCCAGCACTTTGGGAGGCCAAGGCGAGCAGATCAGGATGTCAGGAGATCAAGACCATCCTGGCTAACATGGTGAAACCCTGTCTCTACTAAAATATAAAAAATTAGCTGGGCGTGGTGGTGCATGCCTGTGGTCCCAGCTACTCAGGAGGCTGAGGCAGGAGAATTGCTTGAACCCAAGAGGCAGAGGCTGCAGTGAGCTGAGATCACACCACTGCACTCCAGCCTGGCAACAGAGCGAGACTCAATTAAAAAAAAAAAAAAAAAAGAGTAACTGCTTTGTTTAGTTTATCATAATAGTGATATTTTAGTTGTAGGCATCCAATTTCAGAGTTGGACATGCACTTAGTGACCATCTTATCTAATTACTGCTTTGAATGAAATTGCAATTTGAAGAAAGCAAGTGACCCGCCCAGAGTTATAGAGTTGGTTGCTGATGAAAGTGGGTATCCAAATTTTCCATCCAGGTGCTCTTTCCACAAAACAGTGTTACCTCTCTTTCTCATTCTCTAGGCCTCTTTCAGTTCTGGCAAATACTTTGATTGACCGATAGGAATTTCACAGAATATCATACGTGCATTTATATGAGAGTTCTGTACTAGATTTAAAAACTTATTTCTCGTGTGTGTGTGTATGTGTGTGTGTGTGTGTGTTGTGGAGATGGTGGGAGTGGGGGAAATGGGAAAATCTAACCAGATGCAATGTGAACCAAATTAGTTGTTACAAAAGAAGACCATAGACTGGCAGACATAAAAGATTCCCGAGTCCATCTCACTCATTTTATAGCTAATAAAATTGTGAATTTGGAAATTTAAGTGACTTGTCTTAGTTTGGAATTTGAGTAAGCTAAATTTTGGTCTGAAATACTTTCCATTAAACACACTGTCTTTTGTTTTTAAATAGTGTGTAACTTCTTCTCGGATAGTTAACATGGATGATTATAATAATGTGTGGTCACTATGTCAAAATTTCTATAATTTCTTAAAAGAAATTCTTTGAGAAGTTTAGATTGCCACATAATTTTAAATATTAACACCATTAGTTATTTATACGTTTTTCCCCTTTACATTTAACATACATCAAGAACAACAAAAATAGTTCTTAAGCTTAAGTATTGTGATCATAGTATCTACAGAAATAATAAACAGACGATGTATCTAGAATTAGATTTTGGCTTTAGGATATGTTTGTAAATAAGATGCATTTTTTAAACTTTATATATGTTTTTACAACATTCAAATCATCTTGCAATAGAAGTATGAATTTTATTACATCACAAATGAATACGATGTGAATGCAAAATTGGATGCTGTTTAATCTTAGACAGTCTGGTTTTTAGAATAATTATGTGACTGAAATTCCATGAATAATGATAATTTGTTTGGTAGTGGATCGATTACTTTTTTTGAAAGTGAATCCATCATTTTCTTTACGGCGCCTGATCCTTGGATCCTTGGGTATAAATTTTTGGTACAGCACATGGGGATTTAGCTATGTGAGTCCCATTAATGTGCATCGGAGTTTTGCAGCTAGCTCCATGAGCTGAGCAGTTGCTTTTTAATGTTATTTTAATATTTAATGGTTATTGCAGGGCTGTCAAGCTGGGACTGTTTCAATGAGAGAGATTTCCAGAACTTACGAGAGAGATTTTAAACATCTATTCAGAGCATATTGCAATATCCTTTATTAGAAGAGGAAAATTCTTTAGAGAGAAACCTCCCAATTCAAAAGAGTATCTCTTTAATTGTGGCAAATTTGAGACTGAGATAATACCTTTCTTATTTTTATTAGAATTATCCAAAGAATTTATTAAATTGCTTTCATCAGGTAAGTTAGATATTAATTTTGTGAAGTTTTAGTATTAGAGTGAGGAATAAAGGGGTTTTTATATTTGTGTTTTGTTAATGGTCATTGTTTTCATCATTAATTTTATATAATTTTTTAAGTTAATTGGTACTCTTGGTTTTTCTTAAAATTCTGTAGGCAGGATTTTCACAGATTATTGTATTTGAAGAGACCTCC